TATATAGATTTAATATATTATAAAAGGGTAATTGGGTAAACAAAAAAAAAACTCAACAAATAAAATTTTGTTCTTATTAATTTAAAAATTATAAATGTTTTGGAAAATGTATATTTAAAAAAAATAGAAAATGTCATTATATATATTTTTTGAATTTAAGGTTTAGTTATAGACTTATAGTAGAGTTAAAAAAAAAAAATCGTCAAAATGACGAGCGGCGAGCTGAGCTAGACTTGTTTTGGGCAAGCTCGGGTGAGCCGAGCTAGACTTGTTTTGGGCGAGCTCAGGCATGAGCCGAGCTCGCCCAAAAACAACCAACCACGAGCTCGGCTCGTGCTCGTGTGGGTATGGGCCGAGCCCATATATAGTCTCTTTATTTTTAGGTTAAATCATCTTTTTGTATTCAATTGCATTATATAGAATTAATGAAACCTTAGCATCCTCTTCTTTTTCTTTATTTCTTGAGAATGTTTAACCGAAGCAAAGATACAAAATCCATAGCTTTTCATTGATACAGATTTGCAAAAATCTCAATCCCAGAATATGTATATTTTGCATTCTATTTTGCTATATTGTATGTGCAACATCTCCAAAAATAAAAACAAGGAAACGAACCATAATAAACCCATTCACAAGCATATAGCCACGAATAGGTAACTTTCACTTTGAGTAGTGCTATTCTTCTCCACTGGGGATGAAAACACAGTTTACGTGACGTTAATGTGACAATAAATGATATGTGATTTAGTCATTTAATTTCACTTTTCATTTATCCTATCATTTAAAGCCATCTAAACTGTGTTTTCATCCCCAATAAAAATGAATAACATTGCTCTTTCACTTACTACCAAAACTGTTCTTTCTCCATTAATCTTCACTTTTCAACAATTTCATCCACAATTGCATTGCTTAAAACCCATTAATCAATCAATTCTTCGCCTTTGGTGTTTCTACAAAATCATAGATGTCTTCGTTAGGACCTGAATCCAATAGATTTATAAATCTTTTACGTTTTTTTTTTTCAAAATCACAGATGTCTTCGTTATGACCTGAATCCAATAGATTTATAAATCTTTTACTTTTTTTTTTCTTGTTAACGGATCAATCTATCATGATACTTACATCATAAACGTTTTCAAGAAGTACCTGATTCTCCTTCCAAAGTTGAGGAAAAACGGCCTTCTCGAGGTCCCAAAAAAGCAATGGCTCTCGTGAATTGCCAATTAAATAAGCCTAATTAATAAGAAATCAGTCGCCATCTCTTTGTGAAGTACTTCTCCAAAACCCGGCCCCGTAGAACCGGTCCCACATCTCCCTGTCCCAATCAAGGGTTTCGGATTTTCCGTCATGGTTGTTATTGCTACAATCTTCAACTTCCGTCGATTCATCAGTTTCTCCTAAATCGAACTGGATTCCACTCTTCTTTTTCGCTGGATTTTCCTTTTCCTCCGACGAATTTTTCCTCTTCTTTAGCTTCAATAATCTTTTCCTCTTCTTTTTCCTCCAGAGTCCTGCAGGGAGCCTGTAGACGGCGAGGATCAAAAGGTGCATCATGGCACATGGACAGCAGCACCAAACCGCCGCGCACTCCCCCGCCGTCTCCCCCATTCTACTCCCCCGATGATTCCCACCGATATTATTATTATTTTGATTGTTATCGCCGTTGCCGTTGATCCGATACTTCTCGGTACTTTTTGTCGTTGGCGGGGACGTCATCGTTGCCGCCGGCGATTGTATCATTATCTCAACTGTAATAATGAATCATCTTTTGAATTTAAGCTTGGGTACATTCATTCAAGAATTGGATAATTGTACTGAGGCCTGAAAGCAATTCGAGAGACAGAAAGTTGAACGTGCTTTGTTCCTGAAAAAGAGGAAGATCTTAACTTCGGAGAAAACGACTTATTTATAGGATTATAGTAACTGATTTATACTAATTTATTTTTAAAAAATAATAATAAATCGAATTTATATTGTCTGGCAATATAATAATAAAATTCAAATGTTAATTTTAATAATAAATTTCATAAAATTCGTAATTACCGTTCACTCATTCACCATTCAATTTTAATCAATTTATAATTTCAGTAACTTCTAATTTTTTTCCGAGCAAACACTAATGTTGAACTGATAGTAAGAAAGAAAAAAAATAAAAGAATGTGGAAATTTGCGTCGCCACCAACCTCCCGCACTTAAACCCATCATCTCAAACATCAGTAGTCAATAAAATATTATCAATTAGTGGAAATACGAATTTGTCTAATGCATCTTCTTTTTCGAAAATGTGACAATATTGTTACATAGATTAACGTAACATTATCGAAAAATTTCATAGCTTTTATATAACTAAATTTAAATTTAAGTTGTCTTTATTGCTTTTGATTAATTTATAAAATTTTGTGAAGAGAAGTCCAAAACCAAGGTAGGAAGGTATTGTGTTGGCGGTATGTGATATGAGGTGGAAAAGGCAGAATGGGGCAGAGAAGGCTGAATTCGAGAGAGGAATTAGGTAAAAGACAAGTAACTTGACATTCTACAGGACGCGAAGTTAGACATGGATGCACTGTCGGCTCAAGGTAAAAATCAAATTACAAGGACAGTATTGGGGTGGGGTGGGGTGGGGTGGGGTGGGGTAAAAAAAGGTTTCAAATTTATTTTTATCTTATATTTCATAGGATCCAAAACTTTTATTAATTTTCTAAATCATATATTTCATCAACATTTATCAAAAATTATCAAAAAATTAATTTCTAGCAGAATCAAACGTGGGTTATAGCATTTCTTATGAGTAATGGAACTTTCGATATTGAGATAGTTAAAGAGTCATAATGGTTGCATTAAAAGGGTTGCCCCTCTTTGATGGTAATTATTTCTGTAAAAATGATATTTTGAATAATGATTTTTGGGAGAATGTGAGAAAAAAGTAAAAAAAAAATTGAGTTTTCGTGAAAAATATTTTATTATATGAATGGGTTGTTGAAAATTAGTATAAAAAATAAATTATTTTGTTTTAAAGATAGTCAAACACGAGCTTAATGTCGTGGCCATACCGTAGGCTCGTGTCATTAGTTTTGTGCGCATGGAAACAAATTTGGAGGTTTGGGCACCGAATGTGAAAATATGGTTCAGCTCTTGTTCGGTCCCCATTATTTCTAGTATATATATTTTTTCTCTTATCTTTAATCACACATTCTTCAATAAAATAATATTAAACGTATATTCAAAATTTTTTCTTATTTTTTAATTACATATTTTCCATCAAAATACAATTTCAAAACAACAATGCTATATGTACATCATTTTTTACATTGTGTCACATGGCAACATATCATTGGACCGTTTAAAAAAAGATATTTTTCCCGTCCACAATTTTTAAAAAACTAATTGAGATGTCAAATACAATGTACATTTAGCATTTTACATTTCAAAATGCATTTTCATCGAAAAATAAATAAATAAATGGGGCTCGACTCTTAAAGTTGAGATACCATTTGAAGTTGGAAGTACAGACTGATGGGGTTAACTCGAGTCTTGAGAAAATGAATCCTAGAGTTTTTAAAACTTTTTTTCACAAATTTTTTCAGTTTTTTAAAAATTTAAAAATTCCCTTCTATTTCCTTGTTCTTTTAAAGGTATTTTTTCAGTAGTGGACCCAAATTGAGTTGGTATTAACCAACTATTTTATCTTTAATGCAATTAAATAAAATTAAATATTTTGCCTAATCCTAGTCATTATTTTCAAATAGTGGGGTTTGAAAAAATATACTCATAAAATTTAAATTTAGAGATAATCTTAAGTGTTGCTTGGATTTTTATTTTATTTTTGTTATTTATTGTGTGTGTTCGGTGAAGCGTATTTGTAATAGGTGGAAGTGAATAGCTAATAATCTTACACCATGTTTGATCCATGTTCTTACAACAATTTTTTTTTTCAAAATTCATTTTCAACCACACATTTTTTAATAAAATAATATTACACGTGAATTCAAAACTTTTCCTTATTTTTTAACCACATATTTTCCATCAAATCACTATTTAAAATGCATTCTTCACTCAATAATGTGCCGCTCGAGCGGTTGAAGTTTTTTTTATTTTTGCCCTGTAGATTAGGAGTCTAGGAATGAATCTTTTAACATTCAAATCATTATTTCTCTCTTTTTCTTTGAAAATCTTGCATAGTCAGATCTAACCTTTAGTGCTCCACAAAATTCAACTAACTTTTAAAATCGAGCTTTTCGACCTTTCCTTTTGCATATTCAACCCCGGTTTGGTGATCCATTTTTTGGAAATACATCGTTTTAAATAGTGATTTTTTGAAAAACGTAGTTAAAAAATAGAGAATAGTTCAGAATTTACATGTAGGATATTTTATTATGTGATTGAAAATGAGTTTTGAAAGAATACAAACAAATGCTCAATTTTACATAATTTCATCTACTTACTGAATTAATTTTGCCATGTTAGATATAAATGCTAAGAATAATACTAAGTGTACATCCTTTGGTTTAC